TGCTCAAGCTAGCGTGATCATCTTATGTTTGGCCAAGATGCATGAACTTTGACCATGATGCGATTCTTTTTGTATGCCGACATGTGTGCCGGCATGAATTCTAAACTATGGCTGGTGATGGAGATTATTTTGTATGCTGGCATGAATTCTAGCTAGTATGCAAATGTGTTTGTTTGTTGGAAAAAATTCAGCCAGACATATCAAATGGGGCGGCCGGTTGGGTGCATGGCCAAATTTGCGCGGACTTCGCCCCTGACCCAAACGGACATAAGGCGAAGCAATTCCACATCCATTTGCATCGTGGCGTTGGAGTTGGCCTCAATACCCAACATCACCAGTGGTCTGGCCCTAGGAACGTTGCCTCATTGTCCCTCGTCAAGTCCTCTGACGGCTCACTACTCCGCCCCGCCGCAAGGATTTCAAGAGCTACCTAAGCAAGAGCATGATGTCCTTCTCGTCGACCGGCAATCTTGGGTCGCAACAACCGCGAAATGACGAGCACATCTTTGCAGTCTCTGCAACTTCAGAGCTCTGCGTGACTACGTCGACCCCCGATCAATTCAATCCACATGGTGCGGCGGCAGTAGGGCCTGCCACCTTGAGGCTGGGGGCACCGACGGAGCTACTCACGGGCAAAACCGTGCCGTGGCCCGCCCAACAATTCACCAAAATACATATATATACGTATGACCATTGCCCAACACACATGGTGGTAGGCCATGCTCCATAGCCCAAACGCCAGAGTCCAATTGCCACCAATAGAGTAGCACCACTAACACATCTGTCCCCTTGCTCTGTCTACGCCTCGTCTAGTAGAGAAGTAGTACTACGACTCGTGTACTCCACTAGGGAACGGCGCCGGCCGACGGGGAGGTACAGTAGCTGGGGCAACTACAGCTAATAGGAGCTGAGCTAGAGTCAACTTTGCCTAGTGGCGACCCATCCCGGCACCCTCCGTCTGAGAGTAAATTGCTTAAAGCCATCACATTTGTGGCACGGATACTGCAAAACCACCACTATTGCCAAAAATCACAAAAAACCATCGGCTCCGCGGCAAGTGGGTAACAAATCGCACTAATTCAAAACTGAGCCGCGTCTAACAGCAAAACTGACGGGTTGGCCCCACATGTTAGGCTGACTTGGCACGCCTGTGTGGATATTATGATGAGGTGGAAGGTGACCCCACCTGTCAGCCTCACATATCCTTTAACCTTTTTTTATTTTTCTTATTCCTTCTATCTCTCCCTCTCTGCAAAGCTGCTCACTCCACCATTGTCACCTGCAGGCAGAGCCCCTCGAGAAGCCCCGCCGTCGCCGGGAAGCCCCTTCCGCTGAGAAGCCCCTTCGCCGGGAAGCCCCTTCCTCCCTCCCCTCCGACCACCTCACTTGACACAGCGGCGACGCCCTACGAGCTTCCCTCGTCACTAGCCGCCGGATCTAGGCACCGGCCACCGGATCCACCCCGCAAGGCGCCGTGGTCCCCTGCCTCCTCCCCAGCAGCCTACAGCAGCGACGCGGGCACGCAGGGCCTCGTCCTCGCCGGAGTAGGCTGGGACGCGGGCTCCGCCTCGCCGGAGCGGGCACGCAGGGCCTCGGCTTCGCCAGAGTAGGCTAGGACGCGGGCACGCGCGGGCTCCGCCTCGCCAGAGCGGGCACGCGGGGCCTCGGTCTCACCGGAGCGGGCAGGCGCGGGGCCTTGGTATCGCCGGAGTGGGCAGGGGTACGGGCACACGGGGCCGGAGCGGGCACGGGGCGCCTCGATCTCGCCGGAGGGGTTCGACCTCGCTGGAGTGGGCAGGGGCGCGGACACGCCGGAGTTCGGCCTCGCCGGAGCGGGCAAGGGCGCACCGGGGTGGGGGGGGGCTCGCCGTTGTCGTTCATCCATGGCCGCAGCTCCTGTGAAAAGGAAGGAGAGGAGGGAAGAGAAGGAAAGGAGAGAGGAGACAAGATGTGTGGCTGACAGGTGGGACCCTGGTCCACATCAACAGGTCAAAGATTAACTATGACTTGTCTTCGCCACATCAGGCTGGATAGACAGGTCCCACCCGTCAGTTTTACTATTAGACGCGCTCAATTTCGGATCAGTGCGATTTGTTATTCACTAGGCGCAGAAGTGGTGGTTTTTTGTGATTTTTGGTAAAGATGATGGTTTTGGAGTATCCTAGCCACAAATGTGGTGGTTTTGAGCAATTTACTCTCCGTCTGATGTGGCTGCACTAGCTGCGACGGCGAGCCGGCCACGGGCGACCCGACAGGTTAAAATTTTAAAAAAAAGTTATGCTCTTGGTTAGCTTGGCCCGCCCAGTTTTTTGTTTGTAGCTCCGCCACTGGCTGGGGGTTCGGTAGCGGGAGG